AAGATAAACACTCAAAACCAATAAAGAAAACTACAAATTTAACATATCATAAGTCATGAAAAGACCAAAAAAGATGAGTTTTAGAATGAAATTTCAACTGTTTACCCTCTTTTTTGTCCAAAAACTCAGATTAAGGTTGAATTAATACATGTATATATATATATATATATATATATATATATATTTCAAAAAACCCCAAGAACATATTGTTAGTCCCGAAGGGGATGACAATAAACAGAAAGTAATTGTAGAAGGGGGAGTTGAATACAATTACACAGACTTTTTTCAACTTTTTAATTCTTATTGATTTATATCAAGAATTAATACACACAGAAATACAAAAGATTGTTGCGGAAGATAGGAAAGGAAAACCTAACTTAAACAATCTTACAAGGAGAAGAACTTTCAAGAACAACACAAAAAGTTCTTGAAAGGAAATGAAGAACTCTAAGAATTTCTTCGCACACAGGAGAGCAAGGGAGAAGAAGAGAATAGCCGATTGCTTTGAGAATGCACTAAGTAATCTTGCAAAAGCCAGTTCTATGTGCATGGGAGATGCACACTGCCTTTTTATACTACCTTTAGCATTTAATGCATGGAGACACTTGTCACATGAGGATAAGAAGGCAGGGGTTGACTTGACCATTGTTGATATCTCATTTTCATCGTACACAGCGTGCATACAACACTGTTCATGCAGAGACAAACTTTGGCAGAGATATGGTCAGTCTGTAGGAAGATCTCCTTTGGATGGATATGTAGCTTCAAGCAGCTACTCACAAATCTTCGGTCCATGAAGATTTTCAATCTTCGGTTCATGAAGATCTTCAATCTTCGGTTCATGAAGATCTTCAATCTTGGGTCCATGAAGATTTTTCAATCTTCGGTCCATGATCTTCAATCTTGAGTCCATGAAGATCTTCCTTCAATCGGATTGTAGCTTCAAAATATTTCAATATTCATTTCAGCTACTTCGGAGTCTTGGTGTGTATAATAGACAGTTGATCCACAACACCGCATCGGTGACCTTCTGTTTTCACATCGGCTAGTCTTCGATTTTGCCAATGGCTTAAGTATGTACCAAGACACCAATATACAAAGAACCAATAAATACTAAGTGTTGCTAAGGTAGAGGAACAGATCAGTGGGTCATCACCAAATCAATAGGTGACCCAACAATCTCCCCCTATTTGATGATGACACAAACACTTAGAAAGAAATAAATACAAGATACACAAACTCTAAAATTCTTTGAGAAGAAGAACTTATAAATTATGTGACCCATGTACATATTCTTTTTGGGTTCTTTTCTTTTTCCTTTTTTTTATTTTTATTTTGATTTTTTTTATTTTTTGATTTTTTTATTTTTTTAACTATAAACATATATACAAACAAATAACGAATCAGAGATAAACAAATAACGAATGAAAAATTTGAAGTAAATACTGAAAAATCAAATTGCATCTATACTAGACAATGAATTAAATACTTACAGTGAAGAAAGTAGTTCAAGAAGAAGAAGTCACATAGAAAAGCTAGCAGTCGTCATCTACTTCCATAACATCTGTATCAGCCACTTCCTTGATGGATTGAGAAACAAAAGCAGATTTAGAAGAGCCAGCTTTACTTAACATTTCCTTAAGAAATGAGAGTTGTAGAGGGGAAGGCAGCTTGTAATGCATCTTGATCATTTGTATCTTTTTTAGAA